CATCTGTAACTGAAGCAACAACTGAAACAGAAATCACATTTGTAACTGAAACAACAACTGGAATAGAAACCACATCTGTAACTGAAGCAAGAGCTGTAACTATAGAAACATCTGTTAATGAAGCTACATCTGAAACAGAAACCACATCTGTAACTGAAGCAACAACTGAAAAAGAAATCAAATATTTAACTGAAATCACATCTTCAATTGAAGCAAGAACTGAAACAAAAATCACAGCTGACACTGAAACCCCAAATGGAATACAAGTCACAACATAAACAAAATTAAAACTACAATAGGAACATACTGAAAAGAACATTTTAAGTGAAACAGGAATCATACAGCACAAATCACAACTGAAAAGGAGTTATCAGAAGAATACATGAAGTCAGGAAGGTTCTGTATCACAACTAAACCTCATTCTCAAATTGAAATAATATCTGAAATAGATATGATGATGGAAATGAAAACTGGCTTTAACAAAAGTCACAACATATGAAACAACTGTCATGAAAATTACAGCGGCAAGAGGAACCGCTTCGCAGGAATATTAGATTATTTTTGCAAAATCAGGAAAGACACCCAAAACCAAAATTTACAAATGCCATACAGAAGTCACAGTAGATGACACATTTGCTTAAACTATATTAATAGGCATTGTGAGAGTTAATTACAGCAGAAGCACACATAATCAGTAGTAGAATCATTACTTATAGACAACACAGCCCACAACAACAGACTCACAGATAAAGCAGAGACCACCTTTGCTCTTTGTCTTGATATTACTGAATCAAGTGTCTTCCTTTGCTACACTCATGATGCTCTCATTTGATGCCCTGCTATAACATAACACCTTTCTTGGGGAAGCCTCTTGTGGCTCCTTGAAGCTACCATCTCCTATGTAGGTACCATCTACTAGGTGCCATCAGTAGCGGAGTTCTGTGGCCTACCGGGAACCCAGAGTCAGAACTTGGTCTCTTCACCAAGGCGTAAAGAGCCATGACAGTTATATATTAAGTTATTAATTTATGTCACCACTGCAAAAGGTACCTAGAAAGTCAGTGAGTGTAAACAAATGTACACAAATGACTGAAAATATTATAACCCAGCCCCTGCTCATTTGCCCATCCCTTCCCCTCATTTGGGGGCAGGAGAGGACAGGCCATGGTTCACTGGCCTCACTGCCATTAGTTCGACAAATGTTGCAGAAGCCCATTTCCAGGGGGTGAAGGGTGGGTGTCAGGGAGCCACCAGGGCTCACCCAGAAATTGGCATTTCATTGCATTCAATGCTGCTTTTCTGGGGTAACCCCTGAAGCTAACTACCTATGGAGAAGGAAGTACTGTGCACATACCAGGGAGACGTGAGCACTGTAGGTATCATAGCAAAGACAAGACCATTGGCATAGAAAGCCACCCCAAGGCCACATGGGGGGCACTGAGGCCAAGGGAAACACTGACCCAACACCTCTGAGGGGACCAGGTTTCAGCGGTGATCTCCTGATAGGCCAGTGAACTCCTCGACTGAAGGTACCTAGTAATTGGCTTTAGCTACCTACCTCCCTGTAACTACTGTACCTACACCGGAGTTGGTGGTTCAGAGTGCCACCAGGACTCGCCCAGATATTTGCATTACATTCAACACTGGTTTTATGTCCAACTGCACTTTACAACTTTTTTTTATTTTTTTGCCATTTACCCTACCCTAAAAAACATATTTCTGGGGGAGCCCCTTCAGCTCCCCGGAGCTTACTAGTCTGATATGCTGATGTCAGACATTGGCATCAGTTATTTGTATGGAGTTCTATGGGCCTACCAGGGACCACGAGCTCGTGGTTCAATCCACTTGTTCGGCTCTTGGTAGCAATATTTTCACCAGAATAGGGGTTTGTTTTGGGATGCTTACCTTTCTGGGCATCTGACCCGGTCGATGGCAGACAGAATGCTTCCAACCACACAGGGGTTTCTATAGGCCATTGCTCCCCTTGCCTCTTCTGAGGGGGGCCCAGGTTCTGGCTCGTGGTCCCCGGTAGGCCCACAGAACTCCATACACATGACTGATGCCAAAGTCTGACATTAGCATATGAGCCTAGTAAGCTCCGGGGAGCCTCCAGGTCTCACCCAGAAAATGGCGTTTCATTACATACAACGCTGGGGTTTTTCTCCATAACTCTTTCCTGCAATGCCTTTCATTGTCATTAAATTACCAAATTTTGTGACCAGGATCAATATAGTAGGAAGTTTGAGATAATAATGCATAATTCACATACTGTACACTTACTAGAAGATGGGGCAAGAAAAAATATAATGGATAATATTATATGGGTTTGATAGGCACCTGATAGCACAAGTTTATTCATATGCTGTATATACAGTAAATATATATCATTCAGTATTAATGAAGCTTTAACTTGCGGTTAGGTATTAAGTTACCTACCTCTGTCTCCAGTATATCATCTTTCCCTATTTAGCAAAATTGTGCATACTGTATTCTTATTATGCCAGTCTTTCCTTACATGGCTACATACATTAGTGTTGGTTAGTAATAAATTACAAATACAATTCTTAACATCATGCTTATCTACTGCCCGATGTATAAAGTTGCAATATTTGTGGTAAAATTATAGAAATACAACATCTCACTAAACTGGGTAGATTGTTATAATTTAAAAGCTGGTAAAATATAATAGGCTCCTTAGCATAGTTGCTTTTAAATGTTCAAACTCTGGATGCTGTTGAGCCCTTGAAGGCATCCTTGTTTCAATCATTTAAGATGCATCCTAGCTTTGAGCATGAATAACAACAGACACCTCCACCTTTGCCTCCATTTTGAGAATCACATGACACGAACATGTCTTACTTCCCATACCTTACAGTATTTACAATGCTGGGCACACATACCTTTCAGCATGTTTGACAAATGACACACACACATCATACCATCCAGCATGTTTCACAAATGACATGTACACAGACCACACTCTCCAGCATGTTTGACAAGTGATACACAGACCACACTCTCCAGCATGTTTGACAAGTGATACACAGACCACACTCTCCAGCATGTTTGACAAGTGATACACAGACCACACTCTCCAGCATGTTTGACAAGTGATACACAGACCACACTCTCCAGCATGTTTGACAAGTGATACACAGACCACACTCTCCAGCATGTTTGGCATCTGCCATGCTCCATAACTATATTTATCATCAAATGACCTCTCCCTTCTCATGTAAGTACTATTGCAGTGGTGATACTTAAGCAGTGTCAGCTTGACATGTCCCCTTTCTGCACCATGGTATATTGTAGCAGTGCCACAGTAATTAATTTGAAGCAAACTACACTGTAAGATTGGTTGCTCTAGTTCTTAACATTCCATACAATTTGTAGTTTACCATTTTCACGTACATCACTGCTTATTTTATTTTGGGAACACTGAAAGACTATGGAGAGTATTGACATATATGGAGTTAATGTAATGTTTGTTAAATACTAAGAAAATATTTTATGAAACAAATTATGAATAGCTACAGGCATGTTGACTGACTAGATCTGGTAACAATACAGTACTGTAATGTATAGTATTATATCAAGATTGTCTGATGTCCATGTCATTGTTAAATGTATACTACTGTACAGTATATGGAAAGATGTCATAATTTATGAAAGAGAGCAGGATGAGTAATACAGTGTGCTTCAGTCTCCACTGACAATCATGGATCCTGGGTTCGATTTCCAGACAGGACAGAAGTTGTTGAGCATCTTTTCTTTCACCTAATGCCTCTGTTCACCTAGCAATAAATACTATATATATCAGGGACTTACAAAATTGTTGTGGGGTTGCATCCCGGGGAGGTCGGTACAGTATTATATTTCGATCTTGGGGTGGGACTCAATACAAGCCTAAAGTGAGTGTAATTACCTAAGTGTAGTTAGAAAGAAGCTTCGCTTGTCCTGTCTTTCCAGTACTCTTTGTCATTTGATGCTTTGGAAACTACTGACGGTTTTAATAAGATAATTGTGTGCGAAATTCAGGGTACGAATGCTTGGATATGGAACACTAGTGCAGAATTTGAATGAAAAATTAGCAGTGTCTTAAAGATAGACAATTGAGGAGTGTGTGTAATAATATGAATATAGAATAAGGAATAATAATGCCATGGAAAGATGTAGAATTAAAAACTCTGCGACTCTTAAGACCAAAGAGAATGTGCCACAATGTCATGTTCATGGTGAAGGAATAAATGCTTAAAGAGTGGCAGAAAAAACTATTTGAATTTGTGCTTAGGAGGAAGAGAAGAAGGCAGAGAGGATGGCTAGACATGACAAGTGATGGGGAGACAGACCGTAGCATGCACGTCATCACAACAATAAAACTAATGAAATGGTCTGCATGGGTCGAATGAATTTGAGTGAGTGAATGCATAAAAAGAGTGAATATGAATACTGTAGAGGAATAAATATGAATGATAGAATTTGCACTTTATATGATCTCATAGTGTATTTTATGGCTACTGAGGTGGCTGTTTTGCTAGTGCATGGTGGAGCTTGGTTCCCCAATGCTTTCAAGGGTGGATAATGGTATGAAAGACTTATTTTCAATCCCATTTTTTCCAACAGTTTTTCATCTTTTTTTCAGGCTAGTGTCCCCAGTTTCATGATAGGGAAAATGTAATAATGGTTCATGGTTGATAACTGATGATATATAGTTAATGATATGTAAATGCACAAGCATATGCATCTGCTGTACTGAATAAATGTTTCAGCTTTAACTGGCACATTGCTTAACACAGTATTGCAGCCAGTTGTATATCCTAGCAATTTATCTCTTCTGTAATTGTTTTCTTTTTCCATTCTAACCCGTCTCATTCACTCTACACCCAAACAACTCTGAGTTTGTGGTTAAGCAATAATATAACACAAAAATCAGTGCAAACCTATATGTAACATGCATACAATGCTGATTTAAGAAAGTTCTTGATCAAATATACGAGGAAATGTTTTTGATATCATAAGTGCATCAGGTGAGATGTTTGGTAATCCAATTATTTTATGAAGATTTGTACACGTCTTATTATTTGATCACGTTTTGATGCACTGCAAAGTAATACTAGATAAAGGATTCATGCCACCATACTAGTTCACTCTAAACCTTTCTTGTTCTGTAGTCTTAAGATGCGTAAATCTTCTAAGACACATAATGTTAATGAAGGACAAATCTTTATACATAGAGTATATGCCATGTCTGCTAACTTATTTCTGTAAAGTATCTTGAAGTTGTATGCAGTTAAAGATTGCTGAGTTGTGATATTTAAGACATATTTTCCTAGAGCATGCTTCATGGTGAAGGGGGATAATCTTTGATATTGTTGTATTAAGAGTCAAGTCTGCTTACTTATATCTGCAAAGTACAGTATTTTCTCAATGGCAGTGATGTACAGTATTCTTACAATTGCAAAGTATTATTACATATAAGTACTGTATTATATAGAAAGCATTATGTTAACTGCTTTGTCAGTGCCAAATAATTTAAATTGCCAAAAGATGATCATGATTTTTTTAAAGTAAGCTTGTGAATTATTTTAATATAATTATGATAATAATTGGCAATATTCAGTGTCTTTTATTACAATAAATTTTTGCAAGTCTCAGCAAAATAGGCAGTTACAACAATATTTTTCTAATTCTACATCTTGTATTCCAGATCAGTCCACATCATCATCAACCACATCATCATCAACTTCAACCACAACAGAAATCACCTTAAATGAAGTATTCAGCAAAGTTATAAATCAAGTAGGCAATGCCACCTTCGTCAGTATCAAGTCAGAGACTACAGAGACAGCGATAGAAGAGCCTCCGAAGCTGACTGATGAAGAAGCGAAGGATGCAAACACAACTTCCATACACCCAGGAGATGACAAAACTAAACTCGAAGATGCTGCTACTACAGCTGATCTCAATTCCACTAGCACATCTATTGAAGGAACTGATGTGTTTGCAGAAGCTCCCACCAATGTTACCACAGAGGGAGAAAATGTTATTGGAAATGCTACTGGTGTTACTATAACTGAAACTAATGTTACTGATGCTACAGCCAATGTCACTGATGTTGCAAGCACAGCCAATGTCACTGATGTTGCAAGCACATCCAATGTCACTGATGTTGCAAGCACAGCCAATGTCACTGATGTTGCAAGCACAAGCAATGTTACTGATGTTACAAGCACAACCATTGCTCCTATAGAAGAAAGTGTAAAACCAAGATCAAATGAATCATTGACAGCTGTAGAAGGAATGGACTCGAGTAATGTTACTATCCAAGTAGAAAATACAACCCATATCAGTCTTGAGGTTGATGAACATGGAGTTACAGATGGGGACCATGGAAAAGATAGCAATACTACAGCTTCAGAGGCAAGAGACATAATTAAGATTTCACCTGAATCTGAAGATGGCACCCCATTGCCTTCAGAAACTGCTTCAAATACTTCTGTAGATACAAATGTTGAGAGAGAACCTGTCGGTGTCAATGAGACACAAACAGTTTCCTCCACTACTGAAGTGACTCTAAATACTACCACCTTGGAATCTGCTGTTATAGACCATACAAATATCACCACAAGTGAGGGAGGAACTAGTCAAGTAGAAGGGGAAGCTATCACCACTGTGCCTCATACAGTTGAGGCACCCACCAATGTGACTGGAACAGTGAATGTAACATCTACAGATGACCCAGTAGTTATAATTATCACCAAAGAGCATCCTCCAGCCAACAGGAGTGTCTTATCTCCAGAGATCTATGTGTCTCCTGGGACACGCCTGGAAGATATTGCTGCATTTGCAAATGGCCACTCTGACAAAGTGTTTATTATTCAGGATCTCTCAGCACTCAGGCCAGGAGACTCTCCTGGGGATGTGCGTCTTCAGGATATGAACGTGCCTGAGGAATTTGTAAACCAATTTCCAGATTCAGCTTCCACACTGAATGCAACACAAGATACAAGCATAAAAGGAACAACAGAAACCAGTACAGTTTTATTAATCAATAATGAAACAATAAATACCTACAACACCACAAGTTTTGAAACATCTGATAAGGTTAGTCACAATAAAAGTTCAAGTGAAATTCCAGTAAGCAGTACTATTTTGTTCAATAATGAAACAAGGGACAGTACTGCACAAACATCTGAGAGACCTTTTGTTATAATAACTGCAGCTAAGGCAGATGAAATTGAAAACATTGTTCCTAAAGAAGGACATGATGATCTTAATAAAGAAGTGGTGACAGTGCATGCCATATTATATGAAGGTAACCCAGTGTTTGCCAACAAAACACCACCACCTGTGCGAACATCATCATCCACTACATCTACCACCACACCCATGGCACCCATTCTCACAGAGTTGCCCGAGATCACTAATAAACCTCCAGAGGCGAGTGTCAACCATACTATCCAAACTGTCATAATAAATTCTGATGTGAATATTCAGGGAGAAGAAAGCCATGTTGATAAATCTGATCCTTCCAACTTTGGTATAGATTTTGGAATTATTTTCAATGCAAGTTCTGACCTTGGCTCCATGTTAGGCAATGCCACCAATGCTTCAGGTGACTCACCTGTGGCACCACAGTCAACATCTACTACAACCTCTACAACACTCTTAATAGGCACAACTAGTACAACTTATAATTCATCTGGTGCAGTACTTCCTAGTGGTGAATTGGCTGCAGGACGAGAATCACCTGCAGGGATCACCTCTGTTAATGTTTCTGACAGTGTCACCACTTCTGATCCAACCCTCGTCTGGAAATTCCATAAAGAAGTCCAGACCACAACAGTGTCTTCAGTTATGCCAGCCAAGATGCTCTGTAGTGAAGGTAAGTGTTTTCTCTCGATATCCTTGGGATTAATGTAAATATTTTGGGGGGCATATTATACAGCATGGACAACATTAATACTCTACACTTTTGCATTTTGGACAGAAATGCAAATGTGTGGGCTGTCACTCAAGCATAGAGAAATTATACTTAAAGGCCCAGTTGGGCAGAATTTAGTTGCTTCTTGAATTCTTCCTTATTGTGGCTGTTCATAGCATGGTTGATAGAGCTACCCTCTTCCACACTGGGGATTCAGAGGTTTGAGGCTCCTAGAGCCCAAGTGAATGAAATGTTATTACCCACATTTATTGTGATTGATGATATATATTTTGTCAATATATACATGCTACATTTATATATTGCTACAATATACTACATGTCATCATCTTTGAGGCCAAAAGTCCCTACAAATGTAACCAGTGGTACAGTAGTACTCTTTATATATTCAAAAAATTATTTTATAAAATATATTATATACATTATATATATATATATATATATATATATATATATATATATATATATATATATATATATATATATATATATATATATATGTCGTACCTAGTAGCCAGAACGCACTTCTGAGCCTACTATGCAAGGCCCGATTTGCCTAATAAGCCAAGTTTTCATTAATTGTTTTTCGGCTACCTAACCTAACCTAACTTTTTCGGCTACCTAACCTAACCTAACCTATAAAGATAGGTTAGGTTAGGTTAGGTAGGGTTGGTTAGGTTCGGTCATATATCTACGTTAATTTTAACTACAATGAAACAAAATTGACCTCATACATAATGAAATGGGTAGCTTTATCATTTCATAGGAAAAAAATTTGAGAAAATATATTAATTCAGTAAAACTTGGCTTATTAGGCAAATTGGGCCTTGCATATTAGGCTGAGAAGTGCGTTCTGGCTACTAGGTACGACATATATATATGTATATATATGTATATATATATATATATATATATATATATATATATATATATATATATATATATATATATATATATATATATATATATATATATATATACATATATATATACACAGTGGTACCTCCCATAACGAATTTAATCCGTTCCATGTTCGTCATGTGAAACGGACGTCATACAAAACGAGTGTCCCCCATGTAACCAGTGTGATGCACTGTGTTTATTGTGAAATTTCCCTAGTGTGCATGACATCAAATGTTCCCCAAAATATAATTTTTCTTTGTAAAATGATAAATTACCGTCCCTGAACATGTCTATGTAAAAATAATTACCAAATTCCACTTACTTTGGCTGTGAGGGCGTGGACAAGGTGCGCTGTGACGTCATCAGGGGCTGGTCGCCCGTGTGTGAAGCTCCCAGACACGGTCGCGCAGGCCATTCAAGCACCGCGTGTTGCCACAAATATATTTTCAAATATTTTTCCTATGCATTTCCAATGCGGTTTTATTTGTTTCTTTTATCGTATATGATGCATATTTGTGACCTTTACAATATGTATACAGTAGAATGTTCATAATTTTCCATGAAACTGTGATACATGTGTCAGTAATGTGTCCACAATAAATGTTTATTGTCACAATATTACGTGGTAAAAATGCACTAATATTACAATATGTACAGTTTCACATACTATTTACACAGTAACACACTGTATTACACACTCAGTACTTTGGAGGTGCGTAATAGTCAACGAAGTAGTCCATGGTACACAGCGCGACTTTGCTCTCCTTGCACCAGCTACAGATAGATTTTTGTTTCCTGTTTCATCGTTCTGTGTGCTTGCAAATAATGCACTCGCATGCACCCTTGGCTTTAGTACTTGTAGGTGGTATGTAGCCAAGCTTGTAAAGCATAAGGTAGTATTGAAACGATTATAGGAAAAGCTCAATTTGTAAGGTAGTCTTGAAAAGATCGCTTTGTAAGGTCCCACACAGGAAGAGATTCAGCTAGCCTCAAAGAGTGTCCATCAGTCAGGAAGAGATTCAGCTAGCCTCAAAGAGTGTCCATCAGTCAGGAAAAGATTCAGGTATTCTTAAAAATATCAATGAACACCACCACCATGGAAGCCGCTAACACTGTTCATCTATGCTACTTGTATCAGATGCATCATCACTGAACGCAGAAAACGATTCATCTATGTATCATCTATATACATTAGAGATGGCAAGGGTGGGGCTCAGAGCTACACCTGGATACGCTTGCTGTATCATCCTCATAGGTGCTGTATCACAGGCATCCGACCGTTGTGTTAAGCCCTTATTGCGCCTAGCTTCACCAATGTTATGACCCTTATGTTCTTCAAACAATAGGGTCTGAATTGCACTGACTGAGTACAGTCTTTCAACACCGTGTGGGACAGGTGTTTGAGAGCCAGAGGCATGTGTGCTACAAATGGTTGCTCACGCACTACTAACCCAGCCAGCAGCCCTTGTCTTTCATATTCGTTATAGCAAAAGGTTCGTTCAGTGTTTGTTGGGTAGGCTGCTCCATTATGACAATCTTTCTTTGTTTCAAATGTGTTCCATTTGTTTTGTATTTATCACTTACGTCTCAATAATGGAGCAGCCTACCCGACAAACACTGAACGAACCTTTATGACATTTGTCCATTTTTCAAATTGTTTCAACAGTTCTTTTATTTTTCGTTTTTTTTTTTTTTTAAGAAACATGGAGCAGTCGACCTGTAGACCACCGAACGAACATTTTTGACATTTGTACTGGTTTTCAAAATTCTTCATATTTTTTATTATTTACGTTTTTTGTATGTAAGAAACATGGAGCAGCCTACCTGCCGACCACCGAACGAACCTTTTGCTATAAGACAAATGAAAAATAAATATTGAACACATTTGAAGAAAGGAAAATGTCATAATGGTTTATTCAGTGTATGTAAGGTAGGCTTCTCCATTATTGAGACGTAAATGACAAATAAAAAACAAATGGAACACATTTGAAACAAAGAAAGATTGTTATAATGGAGCAGCCTACCTGCCGAACACCGAACGAACTTTTTTGACATTTGTTGTATATCAGATATTTCATTTCTTTTTCCTACAAAAACGTCAATGCTTTGCAACATCTCAGCAGTCACCCTTTTATATCCCAGCATCATTAGCATCTTTAAACAAGAACAACATAATTTATGTGCATCGTCGGAGGCGTCTAAGAATGTGCAAGCAGCAGCGCGACCCCACCATGTGGTGTTGACGTTACTCAAATATATATATATATATATATATATATATATATATATATATATATATATATATATATATATATATATATATATATATATATATATATATATATATATATATATATATATATATATATATATATATATATATATATATATATATATATATATATATAAATATATTATATATATATATATATATATATATATAATATATATATATAAATAATTTGATTATAGTCCTAAGAAGCTGGTAGCTTATCAAACGTCGCCCATTTGTGCTCATGATTTGAGCAGGATGATGATAATTTGTTTTATTCATAAAAGAATGCTTTGGTGAAAATTTAGTCCAGTATTATGCACTATATTGTGAGTAAATTGTACCAGATTATTAATACAAGTGTTATAATGATACAGACCAGGTGGAGTGCACAAATGGCACAAGTCCCCTTGGACGCTGCATTCCCCGAAGTGCTCGCTGCAACTCTGTGCCTGACTGCTCGGATCTCTCGGATGAGCATGACTGTAGGGAAAACAACTGCTTTGGTAATTTCCAGGTATGTGCAAATAGACTCTCTAGTTTATTTTTTGGTAGTACTATTTCATATTTTAAGCCACTTGGTTGCTCCCTTAGGTATGAGTCTCACTCTCTTAGGGTTCAGCGACTCCAGTCAGGGTTAATGCAACCTTTATCATTCCAGATACAGTTGGAGTCTTTTCAAACCATTCCTTCTAGGATATAGATGAGGGAAAGGAGATACACTACTGGAGAATACTTAATCTCTAAACTGCTCAATGCACCTGCAGGCCTACGTCTGGTTTGCTCAACGCGACTCCGGGTATTTTTATTTTTCACGTTCCATTCAAAACTCCCGTGGCTACATGGGGTTCACATCAGCTTCCTCAGGGCTCTTGTAAACAGATTCCATCTTTAAAAAAAATTGTGGTCCACATTCCCGGGTGTGAGAGCCTCAGTAGTGAGTGAGCAACCAAGGCTGGCGCTCGCAGCATGAGCGCACAGCGCTGCTGTCCAGCGTGTGACCACAGCATCGCCTAATAATGTCAAAATATATATATAACTTGTATTATTTAGCCATGATAGTATTATAGAAGAGCCTGAGTGTGATAATGACTGGGTACAATGTTCAAATATCAGTGATTCAATGCTGTTAACGATGTTCACAGCGCTAGCCACAGCACCACAACTTTATTTCATCCATCTAGGATTCTTCAAATGACTTCTTAGGTTCCTTTTCAAAATAAACGTGTGGTCAGTTATTCATTTACAGGAATTAGTGACCAGGATTGTGATAATAGCAGGATTGTGGTTATAATTAGCATTGTGCGTAGTATTGTGGAAGGAGGAATTTTGGTGAGGGAGGGAGGGAGAGAATTGAGGTTGCCTCACTGTGTGTGTGTGGTAGCCACTTTTGTTTTGCTCACCATACTAGCTTAGTGGTTCGCTATGGGGAACACATATGTACATGGGTATATACAGTGTGTGTATATGATGTAATAACAGCAACAGGAGTATGTTGAGAGGAGCTATTTTGGTGAGGGAGGTGACGATGTAATCGTAGCGTCATCTGCTGTCTGCTGTGTGATTTCTCATGCAGTGTAATTACCTAAGTGTAGTTACAGGATGAGAGCTACGCTCGTGGTGTCCCGTCTTCCCAGCACTCTGTCATATATATAGTGTATGGTGGCAACTGTACTGTTTGGACACAATACCGGCTTACTTGCATAGTTCTGGTGAATAAAACACGTAGATAGGAAAACATAACATATGTAAATAGTGTAATAAAAACAGTAAGAGTATGGTGGGAGGAGGGGTGATGGCGAATACGATATTGGAGGAGAGAGGGAGAACTGGCTGGCTGGGTGTGGCAGCTCACACTCGTGGAGTTCTGAGTGTGTTTATGGTGCGTGACAGTGTAGAGTGTGTAAATGTGTTGTAAATATACATAAATGAACCTGAAATATGGGTGTGAATAACAGTATGGTGGGAGGAGGGGTGATGGCAAGTACGATGTTGGAGGAATAAGGGAGGGCTGGCTGGCTGGGTGTGGCTGCTCACACTCGAGGAGTTCTGTGTGTGTTGATGGTGAATGTATACCTGGTTGATACCTGGTTGATGGGGTTCTGGGAGTTCTTCTACTCCCCAAGCCCGGCCCGGGGCCAGACTTGACTTGTGAGAGTTTGGTCTACCAGCCTGTTGCTTGGAGCGGCCCGCAGGCCCACATACACACCACAGCCCAGTTGGTCCGGCACTCCTTGAAGGAAACAATCTAGTTTCCTCTTGAAGATGTCCACGGTTGTTCCTGTAATATTTCTGATGCTCGCTGTGTGACAGTGTATAGTGTGTAAATAGATTGTATATATACATAAATTAGCATGATACATGGTAAATATGTGCAACTTATGTGCACACAATTAAGTGTCATGCACGTAACACAGTGTCTTCTGACAGTACGGATGTTTTACTGCCATAATATAGTGTACGTCTTCATTATACATAGGATTAGCATGTAAAAACAAATAAAATGTATTTGGAACTGTGCGCAAAAAATGAACAAAAATATATTCGCGGCAACTCGCGCGCCCCGCCCCGGGTGCCCTACTGGCCCCGGGAGCGTATGTCATGGGCGAACGGGGAATGATGACGTCACGCACCAACTTACGGACCCCATAGCAGCCAAAGTATGTACAATGTCGAATTTTTTTTGACATACCCATACTGAGGGAAGGGTTTTTGACAATTTAAAAAAACAAAAGAATTTTTTCCAGATAATTTATTTCCTGCACACTGGGGGGGGGGGGTGTCAAATTTGGAAGCCGAGCAGTTAAGGGGTTAATCTAGCCCTGAATGGCCTTCAGAAGGTACATTCATCTATGCTCAAAATACCTTCCCCAAGCAATATTTGGACTGAAAAAACTGGCAAGTAAATAAAAAATAAATAAATGTTTATTTAGGTAAGGTACATACATACAAGAGATTTTACAAAGTTTGTTGGATTAATAGATAGAGCTAGTACATACAATGCCTAAAGCCACTATTACGCAAAGCGTTTCGGGCAGGAAAAACATTAATGACTAAAGCTTAATACTAATGGGTATAAAGAATAAAGTATTAGTATTAGAATAAAGTATCTTTAAAGTAAAGAAAAAAGTAAAGTAAGTATTGCTCTACTATTGCTAACCACCAGGTGGCACCATTAATTGTATAAACAGAGAGCACCTAGTAATCCCACCTCGCTTTCAATCTGACTACCATGTCAATAGTATTTCTGGGACAGTGAAGGACCTGAACTTAAGACTTAAATAATACTGTAGTTGATGTATTCTAAGAGGTTTTCTTTCATGCTTTACATATGTATTCATTCATTCTCCCCTCAAACTTTCACTGAACCAGTGTTGTCTGAGTTTTCCTGTGTAGTTACAGGATGAGAGCTATGCTCATGGTGTCCCATCTACCCAATACTCTGTCATATGATGCTTTGAAACTCAGTTTTGGCATTCAACAACTTATTTAAGTTGTTTCAACTGTCCACTGCTCTGTTTGCAAATGAGAACTTTCTAATATTTTGGGGGCATCTATGCTTGAATTCTTGAAGTGGCAGATTTCAAGAATTCCTCCTTGTCAATTTTGTCGATTTCTTTTGCTGTTTTATATGTAGTGATCATATCACCTCTTTTTCTTCTGTCTTCCAGCTTTGGCAAATTTAAAACCATTAGCTTCTAGCTCTTGTTTTTTTATTACCAGGAACCATTTAGTAGCATGTCTATGCACTTTTGCCAGTTCTGGTGTGAAAAGAAATAGGCGGGGATCCATAAAATATTGGAATACTAGAGGGAAACGAGTGTAAACAATAGACGTGCTCGGTCAATATTCTTTGGGTGGGGCGGTACCATTCGGATACTCATCCCACCTATTAGGTCAAGTTTGATGGTCATCCCAAATAGTAACTAGGTAGGGGCATATTTATTGTACTTGTGGTGCTGTTTTACACACTATTAGGAACAGGATTGATTGTTTATTTGTCCCAGTGATGGCTGGATATTTTGTGTGATTTTCATCTTTGGTGTAGACTGTGATAACCTTGTTTAGTGTCCTGGGCTACATGGCTTGTTAAAGGTTGTAAGTCACATTGCATAATTACCAGTGTACAGTAGAGATAACTGGGAACTAGAACAAAGAACACTCATGTGCACCAGATTAAAGTATAAATAGCTTTAGAGTATACAGGTACTCGTTTGTTAATTAAGTCCAATGTTTATGGGACTAGTAATCTCTTGTAAAGTCCTTGTTCAATAGTGTTTACAAATTACAGTCCTGTTCCTGATATAATGTGTACCTCTAAGTCTGTAGAAATAAACCCACGTGTGATTTCAGAAGACTTTTTGAAAAATATTGAAAAAAAATATGAAAGAAGTATTGCTGCCCTCAGAAGAGGGCTTACTAATTCCCATAGAGACTGTTATCCCCTTTCTTTAGTAAGGATGAGTAGACACAAACTCATGCCCTTACACAGATGAGCCCTAAGGGAGTAACTCTCAAATGCTTCAGGAAAGATAACCTGGCAGTGCAAGGGCAGCACTAAGAATCAAACAAGGAAGGTAACCCTGTACACATGCAGTGCCAAGCACTCTCAAAACTAGGCTCTCACTACACTGCAGTGGACAGAAAACACAAAGGGCAAAAAACCACCACCTAGCTGAATCAGCAGAACACTGGAGCCAGTGCAGAAGAGAGGTGACCCAGTTCAAACTTAATCAGCATAGAATTCAGAGTGGAGATGCCGGCTGCTGGTAGGCTACCTCCCTCTTTCTTCCCCAAATGAGTGGGGGGGGGGGGGGGGAGTGGGAGAATGAGCTTGCACTAGTTCTGAGTGAATTTGATAATTTGTGTACATAGTTGGGGGGAGTTCTTTCAGTGGGCTTCATAGCTACAGTCTCTATTGAAGCTGGCAGTGGTTTGTTTTGACTCATTGAATTCCTGCTTGTCTTCCCTGGTGGTGGCGAGAATAAATGTCAGTGCTCCCTGCACCTCTGTGAGGGGGGTCTGTGGCTAACGCGACCTAGTAGTACTCATCAAAAGTATATACTTGAGGCAGTGCATACTTATGGAAAGTACAGTATCCATTCAATTTAATGGCTTATATTGGGCTGTACCCTGGTCGTTATTTCCGGAGCTCCGGTATTTCTTAAGTTAAGTCGGGTCGGGTAATTTTTCAAGTACCATTCAGGTAAGATATATTTTATACTGTATAACTGAAATTAAATAAAGTTCATTGTGTACTGTAATTGCATTCCAATTTAATGCCACGCCGACGATTAAGCCAGCTGTTGGCTGCTGCATGGATGATGTGTGAACACGCTCTGATCGAGTCCAGATGGGTGGGAAAAAATTGGTTCATTCCTTTCTATTGCAAAATATTTCATGTATCAATCAGTGAATGTTAATATTTTCTCAATAAAATTTTGAAGATGTGTTTTGTTTTACCCTGTACAGTGCAGGTAATGTATTTTTAATGTTATGACACAGGCTGTGGCGGCCATGCCATACAATGGCGATCGAGCCTTGTCACTAACTGAGAGCTAGCCAAGATGAAATATTCTGAGTTCATCTTTTCTCTGCTAATGATAGAATATACATTTGCAGAGTGTACATACAATAAGTGTACATACTGTATATACCCTGCATACAGTGCAGAACAATATAAAACAAGCGCTGCAGAGGATGACGTAATCTTCACAGCTTCATAATCTTCAGCTTCATTAAAAGTCAATTTACCAATTTTATTATAGTACAGTATTACAACATATTAATTTTTTTTTTCAACAAAAGCTACATATTATAGCTACATATACGCTACATATTATAGCGTATATGTAGCTTTTGTTGAAAAAAAAAATTAATATGTTGTAATACTGTACTATAATAAAATTGGTAAATTGACTTTTAATGACGCTGAAGATTATGAAGCTGTGAAGATTATGTCATCCTCTGCAGCGCTTGTTTTATATTGTTCTGCACTGTATGCAGGGTTATCTTATCTTGAGATGATTTCGAGGCTTTTAGTGTCCCCGCGGCCCGGTCCTCGACCAGACCTCCACCCCCAGGAAGCAGCCCGTGACAGCCGACTAACACCCAGGTACCTATTTTACTGCTAGGTAACAGAGGCATAGGGTGAAAGAAACTCTGCCCATTGTTTCTCGCCGGCGCCTGGGATCGAACCCAGGACCGCAAGATCACAAGTCCAGCGTGCTGTCCGCTCGGCCGACCGGACCGGGTATATACAGTATGTACACTTATTTTCAGGCATTCACTCCACACAACAGCTAGCCTTACTACTAATTCACATGAGTTCTAATTCACAATTGAAAATTATTTCTACTGTCTATTTACACTGTACAGTATCTTTTTGTCAAGGCTTAAATAATCATTAACACTTACAATACTGTACTCTATCAACACTTTTTACTCTAATTTATATGCCTTTCAATCATATTTTATATCGTTAGTGGAGGCTACACGACTTTTGATGGGAATTCAGCATTGGCGGGTGCTGCATATCTTGCAGAGCATTTGTTGCTGGCGGAGGCTGCACGACTTGTTGATGGGAATTCAGCATTGGTGGGAGCAACATGGCTTGTAGGGCATTCGTTGCCGGCGGATGCTCCACGACATGTCGATGGGAATTCAGCATCGGCGGGTGCAGCATAGCTTGCAAAGCATTCATTGCCAGCGGAGGCTGCACAACTTGTTGATAGGAATTCAGCATGGGCAGGTGCAGCATGGCTTGTAGAGCATTCGTTGCCGGCAGAGCCTACACAATTTGTTGATGGGAATTCAGCATGGGCAGGTGCAGCATGGCATGTAGAGCATTCGTTGCTGACGGAAGCTGCACGACTTGTTGATGGGAATTCAGCATCGGCGGGTGCAGCATGGCTTGTAGGGCACTCGTTGCCAGCGGATGCTACATGACTTGTTGAATTCCCAGCGGGTACAGCATGGTTTGTAGACGAAAATTTTTCACGAACCATTGAAATCATGAATTTATCTATTTTTGTCTGAATCTGATTTTCTTTGGCTAATATTCTGAGACATTGCTCTCAGCCACGCGAGTTCACGGTAAACAATGTGGACACATGGCCCAGCACAGTACATTCTAGGTCTGTGGGGAAAAAAATACCTATTGCCTATATACTGTATACTTTATATACTATAAAAGGTATTTAATAAGAAAACAAAGAATTTTGCTTAATAACAATTGTTTCAAAATATTTTATTAATAATAATTTAGAATTTTTTCATTAAACAGAATCATTTTAAAAGAATGTTAAGATTTAATATACGATTCTGGATGATCAAGGCCAGTGGCCTGGTCACCATGTGAGGGGCCGCTGATGCCAAAACAAACCCAGTACCGATCGTCGGTAATATCAACCGCCAAACCGGTATACGAGGCTCCAGATACTGGTCTCTCAAACCGGTCGTTATTACCGGCAGATCGGTATAAAAGAGGTCGTTAAATTGAGTGGATACTGTACACACCAGAAGTATGCATACTTATGTACTTATACTTACAAGAATGATGGTCCTATGGGTAAAAGATTTTAGACAGATGTATGCAATGGCTACTTGATGTCATGGCAGGCATTAGCTCTCTGGGGTGACCACAGTACCATAGCCAGTGGCCTGGCTTTCTGGTTGCATTTTGCTCTGTGGCTGCCCATTGTTTTTTGCACTTATTTGATATTCATGTGGTATGACATTGTTATTATGGCCCCTACCAAAGAAATAAAGAAACCATTGCTCAGAACATTGCTTTAAAGGACACAGGCCACTAAAGTAAGGAAACAAGTTAATTGTTGGGTGTATCCAAGTCGACACGAGGAAGTATTGTGTGCGCTTCCAAGGTATAAAAACTAATGACACATGAACACAGAAAACATTGGTCTATTCGTCCCAGAGTGAATTTTTTCAAGATCAACCCTTGCTGTAACATGATGGGTACTCTCCAATGAACATTTTATAATGTTCACAGTCCTTGAAGACATCTTTCTGGGATGACCAGACCAATGTTTCTGTGTTGGTGTGTCATTAGTATTTCCCCTCAGAAGCGTGCCAATACTTCCTTATGTCGACTTGGCTACACCCAGAAATTAACTTATTTCCTTACTTTGGTGGCCTGCTTTCTTTAAAGCAATGATCTGAGGAATGGTTTCTTTGCTTAGTTTCTTGGTGGGTGCCAGAAGAACAATACAATATCACCAACACCACTGTTAACAGAGATTAAACACAGCAAGATAAAAGAGCGAAACGTGCAATATAGTTGCCGGAGGCAACTAAGCATCCCAGCTGTGTGTGCCCAGGGAGGTAATGCACACAGTGATGTGTACCCAGCACATACTTCAGTGTACAATCTTTCACCTGTAAAACCATCATGCTTTTCTTGCTGTAAGTATGTGCCTCTTCAAGCAGGGAAGAGCATACTTATAACAAACACTGTAGAGGGTACCATATCAGTATATAGTAGCTTCAGGGAGCCACAAGGGACTCCTTACAGAAAAACAAGTATGATACCATATAGTTACACAAAGAAATTCACAATATTCCAGGTTGAATAACTTAGTCTAAGTTATTTAACCTGGAATTCCACTGAATCCACAAGAGATCTGGAGGCTTCAATAGAAGCCTCCAGACCTTTAGAAGTTTGTAGGCTTCAGTTGAACTTATTTTAAGTTGTGGTACAGGGGATAAGGTGCATGGCTGAAAGTTCCTTGATTGCTGGTTTGAGTCACCGCATTGATCCAATTGATTTTCTCACACCGTACAATAATAGGTTATACTAATTGACGGTTTATTTACAGTGTCAGGATGGTGAATGTATTGAACGGCAGTATGTATGTGATGGCGTCACCAATTGTCGTGATGGTGATGACGAACTAAACTGCGGTGAGTGCTGTAGATGCTCTAATTACTTTACTCTGTCTGTACAGTATATTATTTTTGTACAGTATACTAATTAGGAAATAATACCAGAATTTATCCTCACAGTTTTTCCTTTATCTTTCTAAAGATTCTTGGAAGTGTCATGCTGATGAGTTTACATGTGGAGGCATGTCACCATCCCCTTGTGTCCCTATCTCCCTACGATGTGACGGCCAGCCTGACTGCAGTGACCACTCAGATGAGGTCAACTGCAGTGACAGCTGCCCTAGTGATGCTTTCAGATGTCCTGAAGGGTGGTGCATACCCCTGGCCAGGACCTGTGATGGCATACCTGATTGTCATTCTGGACAGGATGAACACAATTGTGGTAAGTAGACAAACATTTTTAAGGTCTATAATTGCAGTTTTGTAGTACAATAACCCACACAAATGTTTAACTTATCTGTGAGATAGAAAATGTGAAATTTCCTTCTTAGCACATTACCCATCTATCACAGTCCTGATCATTGGAGTTTTTAGTGCCTAAGGTAGGGAGTTTGGCAAGTGTGAAGCAAACATGGTAACCATAAGCATTTCAAATTTTTAGCACAGAAAGAAGATACTGAGAAATGCACAAATCCTAAAGTGTCTAGACGAGCATTACATTTACATATCCCCAGACCTCAAAGTGAAAAAACAAAAGAACAACAAAGAACCGAGAGATAAATTAACCCTTAAACTGCGCAACACATCATATGATGTGTTGAGTAACTTACCCAAAATTGCACATCACATCATACGATGTGTTGGACTACTACGTAATATTTAAACGGCCCACGGATACACAGGGTTCACCTCACCTTCATCAGGGCTCTTGTAAACAGATGCCATTTTTCTGGGGGGAGCCCCTACGGCTCCCCGGAGCTTACTAGGCTGATATGCTAATGTCAGATTTTGACATCACTCATGTGTATGGAGTTCTTCGGGCCTACCGGGGACCACAAGCCAGAACCTGGCACCCTCTAGAGAGGCAAGGGAACAATGGCCTATAGAAACCCCCATGTGATTGGAAGCATTCTATGTCTGCCATTGACCTGGTTAGGCACCCAGAAAGGTAAGCGTCCCAAAACAAACCCCTATTTACAATCTGGCAACCTACCCCCAGGACCAAAAGAGCAGAAACCCCTGTGCTGGAGGAGAGCATGAAGCTCGCCGATGGGGCTCCCCCCAGAAAAGATTGGTTTACATTGAACAACTTATAAGAAACGCAGTTATGCCCCCTTAAATTTTAGTCTAAATGTTTTTTCCCCTCACACCTTCCCCAAAATGCTGTGTGTATTAGTGGCTTTAAGTATTGTATGTACTAGCTCTATCTATAAATCTAACATGATATTTGTAACTCATCATCTATGTATGTACTTTTCCCTGAATAAAAAATTTAATTTAATTTAGTAATTTAATTAATCTAATTTAATTTAGATAACACCCACCTTTTAGAAAGCACAGAACAACAAGAGCAGGTGTTGTGATTCTACATATAAAAGAAGACTTAAATTGGATTGCCAATAGAGTTGAGTCTAGTCTAGGATGATAAAGAATCACTTATAATTAGTGTGTTTGGAGACGTACACATTTGAGTGTAAGAAGTAAGGCAAATAGTTTGGGTTGAAGAGTAGAAGCCCAATTGTTTATATGAACTCCCCACTAAAAATACAAGCCATCACCCATTACAAGGACAATTTGGACTTCCAGCTGCACCCGTGGGGTGGTGTAGGGAACCATCAGTGTATACGGTCTGAGAGAGAAAATGTTCTGTGGACAGAGTATCATTATGACTTAAGGCATTGTAGGTAGTGAGAAGATTAATTAAACAATGTATTTTCACTGCCTAACATATCAAATCCAGGCTAAATATACAAACTGTCATCTCTATCATAAGGGAACCATTTCCCATGGTGGTGCTTCCTCGAGGTGGCTCATGAATGAGGTAGATAGGTAGCCAAGATCTTGTGTTTCCTAGGCTGCCATCTAGTGGTCAGCAGGCACCTTCATTGTTTTGGGAATTTCCATACAGTACTGTAATAATTATTTGCATTGTAATCATCAGGTTTACAATTTATATTATTGTTACTTGTTTTGGGGTGGGGCTTGCTCTCTGATGGGAGTTTCTCAATTCTTTGATTCCCAGGCTATTCTAGACTCTGAGGGGTTCAGATTCTTGTCCTGGTCCCCGATAGGAATCTCAAGAGTCTAGTGTTTTTTCATAGGCTTCATTACTTCTAGGTTGTAGCTACAGGGAGCTACTGAAGGGGACCCGCTCTCAGAAAAGCAGTATAGCAGTACTGTAAACAATCATAATGCTAATAATTTGTATCCATTTAACTCCTAAATGTTATGGCCAAGAAATTAAATTAACAATTGGATATTATCAAGTATGTATTTGGACATGTTTAGATCTTGTAAGTACAGAATTATTAATGGAGATTTATCAAGAGTCTATATAACACAATTTTCTGGAATAGTTTAATTAATTGACACCTAAATGTAGGAAATTATGTCATCAACTGACAGAAGCAATATCAGGAATGTGTACAACTGATGAGAGGTTATTCAGGTGTATATTACTATGATAATCAGTTCTGCCCGAAATGCTTTGCATAATAGTGGCTTTAGGCATTGTATGTACTAGCTCTATCTATAAATCTATAAATTTTTGTAAAATCTCTTGTATGTATGTACTTTAACTGAATAAACATTTATTTATTTATTTATTTATTAAATCAAAGCCAAGAACAGCAATGCAGCTAGGGTGTGTGAGGCAGAGTCCAGGCACCCTGAGTAATACCAAAGTGAGAGGTTGTTTCTCATTTATATGACAAGAAAAGCAAGTGCCTGCCTTTGTCTATCCTTCGGTTACTGATTGATGAGTTTTGTTTATACAGGATGCTCTGGTCTGGATGAAACGCCATGTGCTGTAGGTGGCTGTGTGCCCACCTTCCACCTATGTGATGGGCTACGGCAGTGTCAGGATGGCTCTGATGAGTGGCATTGTGTCAGAATAGACAACAGCACACGACAACTTGAAGTTAGGTATGCAATCATTACAACATTTCCCAATCTGATTAAAAATGAGCAAATTCTTTCCCATGTAGAGATTGATAATTGTTACATTATTTCTAGGGAAGCTCCTTGTGGCTTCCTGAAGCCATACACTGAGATGGTTTCCATCTGCCAGGTCACATCAGCTGTGTTCTTCTTTAGTGGCGACCAGGGCGAATACCTGGCTCCCATCACAGAGGCGCCAGGTTATGGCCTCTGATCTTTCACAGCATTATTTCACCCAGGCATCTCATTCTCAAACTGGACGATTCTATGATTTCCCTGGACCTCCAGGATGTGTTTTGCAATACATTTGGGGTTCAGGGATTGGCCCATTTTTTTTATAGTGGGACAATGAGCTCGCCCAGAAAACGAGCGTTGAATGTAATGAAACGCCATTTTCTGAGTGAGCCCTGGAGGCTCCCTGGAGCTATCCAGGCTCATAGAGATAGTCCTAACTTTTGCCATCAGTCGATGTGGATGGAGTTCTAGGCCTACCAGAGACCACGGCTAGAACCTGACCCCCTCAGAGAGGCACAAGGAACAATGGCCTATGGAAATCCACATGTGATTGTGGAGCATTCTATATCTGCCATCAACCGGGACAGGCACCCAGAAAGGTAAGCACCCCAAAACAATCCCCTATTCTGGTGAAAACAATAATAATAGACAAACTAGTGGACAGAACTCCCTAAATGAAAATGAGCAAACAAGCATGACGTCACACAAGCCGTGCTGCACGTCTGTGCAGCTCCCCCCTTCCTGGGAGGGGAAGGGGGAGCCCCAGACCCCACACGCTGGCGATCTACACCGCAGTTCTGAAGCTGGATATCAAAATACGCAAAAAAACGCCGACCGGAGGGAGGGAGGGAGGGATGCCGGGGAGCCTCCGAGACTCATCCAGAAAATGGGGTTTCTTTACATTCAACACTGGCTGTCTGGGCGTAGCCCCTACAGCTCCCCGGAGCTACTTCGCCAAAGACAAAATAAGAAAGGGGACTTACCTGGAAAGCAGTTGGTGCTCCACACCTCAACTCAAAGTTGAGATCCATAGCGACACAGCCCCAACTAGACCCAAGAACATTTATGACGTAGCGTGCAGCCAGAACCCTGTTCGATCGCCAAAAACCCTGTGCCAGAATGTCAGCCCAGGACATGTTCCCAAAGACTGCAGCAAGAGCAGCGAACTTATGAACATCATGGGCATGGGGATAGACCGCAGGCTGGATAGACTTAATAACCATGCGGACAACCTAAGAGACCTGTAATAACCCTGCAGACAACCTGAGAGACCCGTACCCATGAACAGGGAAAAAGGGAAATCGGATCAACCCAAAGCGTGTCCCTGGATACAGAAGCCGTAGCGTGCAAATAACGATGGACGACGGCAACTGGACACAACACATGATGCACCCCTGGCCTGACCAACCAAGTATCAACAACCCAAGGACCCTTCTGGAAAGCAGCAGTCTCATTCTTCGCCAGAAAAGAAGGAGACGACTGCAGACGAACAAACCTATCTCCACAACCGAAAGAGCAAAATCCCTGTGCTGGAGGAGAGCATGAAGCTTCCCAACCCGACCCCCAGAGGTCAATGCCAACAAGAAAAGAGCCTTCAAAAAACAATCCTGAACTGAAAGGGCCACAACAAACTGAGGAGAAGAGAGATAGGAGAGCACTCTGTCCAAAGATCAGGATGGCTCAGGCGGTGCACGAGCAGGCGTGAGGTGAAACAACTCATGAGACAGCTTGCGAAACGGCACAGAAGTAACATCTATATCGAAAGCAAGCTGAAGCAATTCTGCCAGCGCTGCACGATATGAGGCAACAGTATTCGGCATAAAATGGAGGTCCTGGACAATCACGAGAGAAAGGACAACACCACCCAAACCGAAAGCGAAGTACTGTCTCTACTCGATCATCCGGACTATATGGGAAGGACCCCCAGCCGGATTATCACATTTTTCGGATAATGGTATTTTTTCACTTACGAGTCCAAAAGTGACCATTTCCAACTATTTTTATACTACAAACAACATAGTTTGAATTGCCTTGCCACATATAATTATTAAATATTCAACTAGAAACCTCAACTTACCTTGTTGGTGTTTGTCTTCTTGATTGATGCCACACATCTTGAAGTTAAGAATTCTTAACAATTTACGTAACCTATACTAACACAACACTAAAATTAACACTTAAAATTACTTTACAGTTCATTAAGCAAAGTTAGTTTTGACTACCAGCTGCTGAAGCCTCACTGACGAGGCGCAGCTGGGATTGAAGGCAGCACCGGCTCCGAAACTGGCACCTGTGGTCTACTTCGACATGCGGAACTGCGGTCCCTGGTATGACCAGGGACCGCAGTTCTCAGGTCATATCCAGGAACAGGAGGAACCCACCTGGGATTCCCGGAGAACCAACAAGTCAGACATACAGCAGCAGCTGGAGGAAACCGCTTGCATATATTATTCGACTGCAGAAGCCGCAAATAATTAAGGACAAAGAGGTGTAGACAATCTAAGAGCCAGGGCCCAAGCGGATTCCAAGGAGGAAGCGAGCACCACCTACCGACACGCGTGGAGTGCAGAATCCCGAAGGATCGGCGCTAACAGCTTCAAAAGCACAGATGACACGCGAGCAGCCGAAACCAAGGTGCTAGACCAGGAATGGCCCCAAGTGCCTCTACATCCTCCGTAAGCCATCCGGAAGACAGCTTAAGGAGAGAAAAGAAATGCAAGACCAAAGCCAACGAGCCTCGAGTGTGCAAGTCCTTAGCCACAAGCGCAGCCGACAGGGAGGGAACCTGCACATGAAGCTAAACCGCACCAACATCCTGCAGAAGAGCTGGAGCGAAAAGGCGCTCACTAAGGGGTGCAAAATTGCCCCCCAGATAAACCTGGACCACAGTCAACACCTCACACCATTCAAGTGTGTGGGTACGACAGAAGGTGTCCCAAGTATCCAGCGGAAACATAGGGCAGTTCGCAAGCCAGGACGACTCCAGAACCTCATAACGATCCCAGTATGGAGACGAAGACCCAAACCTGAAAGAAGACGGATCCATTATAGAGGCTCACACCGGGTCGCGCAGGAGGTAAGCCACAATGGCCGCTCGCACCTTAGCTGGAGGGATGCGGGAAGCCAAAAACCTCTGGTGACTTGACGCAAGGTGACTTGTGGAAGGGAACCCCAAGCCCCTAGGGTGGTACTTACAGGGCACTCAGGGAAGGTGACCCTTAGCACATGCAGCCTGAGTACTAGTACCTGTGAATATTACTCCCAGCTCACACACCACCAAATGATCAGTACTGAACAGAGGACAGCACAACAAAAGTCCAGAGGTGGAGCCACAATGACTAAGCCGTATCCCATCAGCCGAAGAACTGCAGTGTGGATTGCCAGCGCGGGAGTCTGGGGCTCCCCCTTCCCCTCTCCCACGAAGGGGTGAGCTGCACAGACATGCAGCGTGGCTCGTATGACATCATGCTTGTTTGCTAATTTTCATTTAGGAAGTTCTGTCCACTAGTTTGTCTATTTTTATTGTTTTCACCAGAATAGGGGTTTGTTTTGGGGTGCTTACCTTTCTGGGTGCCTGACCCTGTCGAGGGCAGATATGGAATGCTCCACAATCACATGTGCATTTCTATAGTCCATTGCTCCTCGTGCCTCTCTGAGGGGCGGGGCCAGATTCTGGCCGTGGTCCCTGGTAGGCCTAGAACTCCACCCACATCGACTGATGCCAAAAGTTAGGACTATCCCTATCAGCCTAGTGGATAGCTCCGGGGAGCCGTAGGGGGCTCCCCCAGAAATTGGCATATTATTACATTCAATGCTATTTTTTTTTATTTGCAAAATATCAATTATGAAAAATATAATTACCCAAGTGTAGTTACAGGATGAGAGGTACACTCATGATATCTCAGACACACAGGTTGCAATAGGCGTTGATAAAAATTAAACTGTTGATAATACACTCATTAATGATGTGTTGAGAATAAAAATAAGTGATAAAAATTTGATTTTACAGGAGTGGAGAGAATCGGTGGATGGCTGTGTGTGGAGAGGGCTGGACGAGCCAGTGGAGCGACTTGGTTTGTGAGCAGCTTGGTGAAGCAGCCTCACTTAGCACGGAGGTGAGGCGTGTGGTGGAAGCTGTGCCTCGCCCAAGAGTTAGGCTAGCTCCCAAAGCCTCAGCCCAAGCCCCCACACCCCTCCAATTTGTTCTCAAGTCTGACTGTTCAAGTGAATCCTTGGTACATCTGGCATGTGATCAGCACTGTGAGTTGTTACACTTGCTTTAATTACCTTTGTCTTCTCTTTGAATAGAACATAAGAATTTACGAAAACCTATTTGGCCATTCAAGACAGCTCCATTTATATCTGCGTACACTTACTTATGTATATGTTTAACCTGTGGTTGAAGCAATCAAGTAATCTCACATCTATTATGTTACTTGCTGCTCTGTTCCACAAATCAATAATCCTGTTTCCAAATAAATATTTGCCCAGGGCTTTCCTAAATGCAAACTTAAGAAACCACTGGTTTCACACATTGCCTCCTTGCATAGGGAGCATTGTGTGAAACCTTGGTTAAACTTCATTGGAAGCCTCAGGAACCCATGAGGATTCAGTTGAATCCCAGATTGCAATGCTTTTACAATATCATGATGTAGGTGTTGCTTTTGAGTAACCTGAGTATAGGTGTCAATCCTCCTCGTGGCTCCTACCGATTTTCTCATTGATAATCACAATAACCCCTGCACTGCTCACCTGTTTTTGGCAAAAACTTCATAGTGCAATTGTTAAGAACATTTTTTTGTTATTTTTATAAATATTCAGGTACTGTAAAGTTAATGTAAAAATGTTTCCAAACTCACCCATTTTCATTTAAAAACACAAAAAGTGATGAAAACATTAAAAAAACATTAAAATATAGCCCAATAAAAAAAAAAAGTACAACTCTCAGAACAAGATTTGTCGGTAGGCACAGCACTGTGGTTAATGTGATTTCTTTGTGTAAATAATAATAACTACATTTTCTCTCTGTATCTCCATTTTTTAAACCCAGTGCCTTTTATTGCTTGTCTCCTCTTATATTATGTGTTTCCCTACAGCCTGTGGGTCCTGGAGCCTAGGGGATGATGCGCTAGAAGAGCAGAATATATCAGCAGGAGCACGACCAGCAGTGACAGAAGGACTGTGGCCCTCATTAGCACTCCTGCTGAGAACCCATCCTTATAACAACACCCATGCTCATACCCAGTCCTGTACTGCCTCCATTGTTGCCCCAAGCTGGGTGTTAGCTGCCTACTCGTGCCTTTCAACCAAGTATGATGGTTTCTCTTATTGTAATTTCAATTAAAATCATTTAAAGAAGTTTTCCCATTTTAAATAGCCAAATGTCACAGAGAAGGTAATAAATGTAATTACAGTAGATAAAATAATCAAAGGATTGGAGGCTAAATTCCCCATGACTTGGAATTCATGATATTTATTAAATTTATTTAACTTTTGATAAATAAATTATCTTTCTGCAGAGAGCCTCTTGGGCTCCCTGGAGTTATACCGGGCTGATGTGCATATATTAGACCGTGGCAACAGTCAATCAATGGTGTTCTAGGCCTACCGGGGACCAGAGCCAAAACCTGGCCCCCTCAAGAAGAGGCACGAGGAGCAATGGCCTAAAGACACCCCCCATGTAATTGGAAGCAGTTTTTTTTTTTTTTTTTTTTTTTTGCCTGGTGTGGCAGTAATTACAGTAAATTTCCTTCTTCTCCTCGATTTCTTTTTAACTCTTCGTCGTTGTACTTTGCTTTCGGTTCGGGTGGTGTTGTCCTTTCTCTCGTGGTTGTTCCAGAACCGTCATCTTATGCCGGATACTATCGCCTCGTATCGTGTGGCACTGGCGGAGCTGCTTCATCTTGCTTTCGGTATAAATGTCACTTCTGCACCATTTCCCAAGCTGCCTCATGCACTGTTTCACCTCCAGCCTGCTCATGCCCCGCCTGAGCTGTCCTGGTCTTTGGACACAGTGCTTTCTTACCTCTCTTCTTCTTGGTTTGTTGTGGCCCCTTCGATTTAGGATTGTTTGTCTAAGGCTCTTTTTCCTGTTGGCATTGGCCTCTGGGGGTCGGGTTGGGGAGGTTCATGCTCTCCTCCGGCACTGGGGTTTCTACTCTTTCAGTTATGGTGATAGGTTTGTTCGTCTGCAGCCATCTCCTTCTTTTCTGGCGAAGAAAAAGACTGCTGCCTTCCGGAGGGTTCCTTGGGTTGTTGATGCTTGGTTGGTGAGGCCAGGGGTGCATCATAGGTTGTGTCCGGTTGCAGCCCTCTGCCGTTGTTTACGCGCCACGGCTTCTGTGTCCGGGGACGTGCTTTGGGTTGATCCAGTTTCCCTTCTTCCCTGTTCGCAGGGTTATTAAGTCTAGCCAGCCTGCGGTCTATCCCAGTGCCCATGAAGTTTGTAAGTTTGCTGCTCTTGCTGTCGTCTTTGGTAACATGTCCTGGGCTGACATTCAGGCACGGGAGCTTTTGACGGTCGAAGAGGGCCCTGGCTGCACACTACCTCATTAACGTTCTTGGGCCTAGTCAGGCCTGTGTTGTTTTGAGTCGGTGGCTGCAGCTTGTCTTGACCTTGAATTGAGATGTGGAGCACTGACCGCGTCCCGGGTAAGTCCCCCTTTTTCTTTTTAGTCTTTGATGAAGTAGCTCCGGGGAGCCGTAGGGGAGCTCCCCCAGAAAACCAGCATTGCATGCATTCATTTTGTCAATGTATTCAATGCTGGTTTTGTGGGTGAGTCCTGGAAGCTCCCTGGCAACCACCTCTCCCTCCGGTCGGCGGTTTTTGCATATTTTGATATCCAGCCACAGAACTGCAGGGTGGATTGCTAACACGAGGTCTGGGGCTTCCTCTTCCCCCTCCCGGGGAGGGGGGAGCTGCGCAGATATGTGGCACTGCTCATGTGAGCAGTGTCTGGTCGTGTGAGCAACGTTTGCTTGTCCACTTGTTTGCTCATTTTCAATTGGGGAGTTCTGTCCATTTGTTTGTCTATTTTCGTCGTTTTTATTCAGAATAGGAGTTTGTTTTTGGGTGCTTACCTTTCTGGATGCCTGTCCCGGTCAATGGCAGATATAGAATGCTCCACAATCCTCCTCTTCTCCAGTGTGGTGGGGGGGTCCAGTTTTCTCAGCCCCATCAGCTCAGTAACAATCCCTGCTGCATATCTCTGGATCTTTTCTAGCTTTGTTTTGTTCTTTTCTATGTTGGACTACAGGGAGCTAAATAGTGGCTCCCTATAGCTAGCCATAGTGAGATCGCTCCATACACCAGTCATATCAGCCCTAGGAATCTAAAAATACCTACCAGATACCAGTCTTTTCCTTGGTGCTCATGCTCATTTAGTGATGCCCTGGTCCTGACAGGATGCATTCTCTGGTAGATTCAGCAGTTCATCCCATGGAAGCTGGCCAACTGAGTATTTCAAATGTTTCTGACACCTCTGCAAGACTCTTGAGGTCAGGGTGCTCTAGTTTTATGTGCTTGTCCATATGGCAGGCCACTAATGCCCTACATAGCCATATTTATCCTAAGGTTTGCATTCGGTGTCAGTTCTTTCAGCAAGTTATTTCATGCACCCAGCACGTGGGTGTCTTGTGTAGTCATTACCTTCAGGTCCTGGCAAGTCCTGCTGGCTTTTATGTGGCTTGTCATAAACTAACACTGAGCCTACATTTGTTACTTGCAAGATTGAGGGGTATCCATCAACATTGCTGTGTCGACTGTCATTCATTCCATCTCTGCCATGCTACCTGTTGAGTGAGTGACACCTTCCACCCAAAGAATATTAGTGTTCATTGAGTCTTGATTATAGCAGAGCCTCTATAGACAAGAGGCTTATCAGGCAGCAGCCACTTTATGGATGCAATTCTCCTGTATCCATTGTTTGCAGCTTGGTGCTTGCATGGATGCCTCAGAGTTGGTCTCCTTAGTGTTTAAGGAGTTAGTGGATTTAGCAGCTGGTGAACCCCACCTGCTCCAAGTTTGCCACTCTTTCTCCTTTCCCAGTTCTCTTTGGCATGGTTTGCCAGGTGTCTTGTTCCCTCCACCCCCTGCTTTCGGGCTTAGAAATGACAGCCTTAGAGTCTGAGCAGAATTTTGGTGTGGGTATAGCCTGGCCTCCTTTTGGTTTTGCCTTTTCCATGTTCACAGTGGAGACAGTTGAGCCATCTCAACAAGTTGTGTTGGATGTGGTGCTCCCTTCTCCCTGGCAAGTGCCCTTTATTTCTTCTCTGTGGGTAGTTAGCTTCGGGGAGCCAGAAGGGGTTTCTTCACAAAACCAGCATTGAATATTATGAAACTCCAATTTCTGGGCGAGCCTTAGTGGCTCCCTGACACACTTCCCTCCCTCCTGGTCATCAGGGGTGTTTTCATCATAGAACTGAGGGTGGAGTGGCCGGATGATCCTGAGCCGCCTGCCTCCTCTCCCCATACAGTGGATGGCATGAATAAATAACTTGATGAATAAGTGCCACCTCTCAGTGCCTTGAAGGGGGCCAGGTTCTGGCTCTGGTTCCAGATAGGCCTGTAGAAGTCCACGACTTATGGGACCTAGTTGTATGACACTCTATCAATGATAGTAGCTTCATGGAGTCACTGGGGATCACCTAGAAATTGAGTTTCATTACATTCAACACTGGTTATATAGCTCAATGTTCTGTGAAAGCATTCAACAAAGTAGAGTGGTAGATATTTAGTAGGATTTCCTTCATAGTATCAGTTAGGTGATTCTTTCTTTATCTTTTATATTAGTTGAAGGTAGTAAATTTTATTTTATTTTTATGTAATAGGATCGACATTAGATTCAGTAGTCATAGGGTATAAATAAGTTTTTTATTCTTCCTACAGAGAAAATGGAATGGATCCAGGCACATGGGCAGTTGTGTCTGGTGTAGCAACTCCAGCTGTCACTGTGCAGTTTCACTATGTTGCCAAGATGGTCCCCTTCCCTGGGACTGTCAGGACTGGTGGACTTTGGACTGGGGATGCTGTGCTCCTGCGCCTTGACACTCCACTTGTTTTAGGACACAACACACAGCCAGTGTGTGTTCCTAATGGTCCACCAGCCAGCAATGCTCTGTGCGTTGTTGCTGGTTGGACCCGCTCTGAATATGGTAAAATCTTTGGGTTTAAAAATGAGTCACTAATTTGTAGCATTACATATTATTTATTTATTTATATATTTATGCTCATCATTATTCGTAACAACTGGGCTTTGCTAGATTGAAAATTTATTGGATATAAGTATTGTTCCTTTGCCCCTATTTATTGCCAATCTCTTATGTGACTTAACCTCTACCTGCTGATACAGTATTATCCTCTTTAATTGCTATCTTCTTATGTAGTGTCCTCTACTCCTGCTTCCCCACTGAGTAATACTTCTAGTGCTTCATTCCACTGAACAAGTTGCATACTTTTTCTACTGTGTGAGTTAACCTGCCACTACCCTGCCTGTACAAGAATCAAGATACTATCCATTTTGGTTTCTCTCCCTTGGCAAATTACTTTGCATATTTTCCTTATTACTAAGCTATTCCACAGTACCCATTTTTTCTTTTAGCCAATGTCAGAAATTCTTCCTTGTCATTAATTTACTCTTCCAATTCTTTCATCTGAACATATTTCTCTACAATTCTCCCCCCCCCCCCCACCCACCATTTTTATATAGGATTTCCTTGCCTTTTTCTATGTCATTGAATTAACTGTATTGTGACATGGATATTCTTTTCCTTTCCTGGAAACTATACACTGAAATGGTTCCCATCTACCAGGTCACATCAGCAATGGAGTCCTTAGACTTCCTGGGGACCAGAGCCAGAACTTAGCCCTCTCACAGAAATGCAGGGGAGCGGTGACATTTCACAGCTCCCCTGCATTTAGGGAGCGGGGAAAGTGATCTCACCGGGGAAGGCATCCAGAAAGTTAACAAACCACTGATGGAAAAAAAGATCAAAGCTTCAAAACCTGGTGTTCTGTTATTTCGGAAGTTCCTCCATGCCCTTTTGTTCAGTTCCCATGTATCTGGTCCTCCATGTGGATCTCTGTTCTTCCAATCTATTTTCCTGTGGTTGAAGTCCCCCATGATTAGAAGTCCAGATCCATTCCTGCTAGTGAGAAAAGCTGCTCTCTCTATTATGTTAATGGTGACCATGTTGTTTCTGTCATAAATAAATAAAATAAATAAATTTTTATTCAGGTAAGGTACATACATACAAGGTAAGATACAAAGTTGATGGATTAATAGATAGAGCTAGTACATACAATGCCTAAAGCCACTATTATGCAAAGCGTTTCGGGGAGGAAAAACATTAAAGACTAAAACTTAATACTAATTGAGTTTAAGTATAAAATGTGTTAAGAACAAATAAAAATAAAAATAAGAAAGGGGGAAACATGGCTGAAAAAGCAGCACAAATACAATTAGGTCGACAAACAGCGTTGTTTAAAAAAAACAGACATGGGTTGACAATAGAGGAGTAAGGTAGGTTACATGGAATTTATTAGGTAGTGCTTCGTTTTTATCTTAAACTGGTTGAGAGAGGTACAGTCTTTAACATGGTTGGGAAGGTCATTCCACATTCTGGGTCCCTTGATTTGCAGAGCATTACTAGTTTGATTAAGTCATATTCCTGTCTGGGTCTTCTGTCATTTGGTGGTGGGTTATACATGACTACTACTATAATTTTTTGTCTTCCAGTTGCTATGGTACCTGTTATGTAGTCACTGAAACCTTCACAGCCCTGAATAACCATCCCCTCAAAACCTCAGCCTTTTCTTACCAGCAGAGCTACACCACCATCACCTCTTCCTTCTCTCTCTTTCCTCACAACACAGTAGTCCTGTGGAAACACTGCATTTGTTATGGTTTTTGTTAGCTTGTGTAATTACCTAAGTATAATTACCTAAGTGTAGTTACAGGATGAATGCTATGCTCGTGGTGTCCCGTCTACCCAGCACTCTTTGTCATATAACGCATTGAAACTACTGACGGTTTTGGCCTCCACCACCTTCTCTGTGGATACCACCATGTTAAAGACTGTACCTCTCTCAACCAGTTTAAGATAAAAACGAAGCTCTACCTAATAAATTCCCTGTAACCTACCTTACCCCTCTATTGTCAACCCATGTCTGTTTTCTTAAACAACGCTGTTGTCTACCTAATTGTATTTGTGCTGCTTTTTCAGCCATGTTTCCCCCTTTTTTATCTTTATTTTTATTTGTTCTCAACACATTTTATTCTTTATACTCAATTAGTATTAAGTTTTAGTCATTAATGTTTTTCCTGCCCGAAACGCTTTGCATAATAGTGGCTTTAGGCATTGTATGTACTAGCTCTATCTATAAATCAATCAATTTATGTAAAATCTCTTGTATGTATGTACCTTACCTGAATAAACATGAATGTCTCCAAGATGAGGTTTACAAATCTGCTTGTCCAAATGTCCTCTGTTCTTGCCTCGTAGGCCACCCACTCTATTGCCTTAAAGTTGAAGTCCCCCAGTACCAACAATCGGGATTTATTTTTGTCAGCTCTTATGATAATCTCTCATGACCATTATGAGACCCTCTCGTTTGTCATCGAGTTCTTCCTTTGTCCATGTGTTGCTTGCTGGTGGGCTGTAGGCATTTACAATTATCAGCTTATCATCTTGATTCCAGAGCTGCAATGCCATTATGTCAATATCTTAAGGGTTTTCAAACATTAATTCTCTTACCTTCAAGTGTTCTTTCACCAGCACAGCCACCCCTCCCTTCCTTCTTAGTTTTCCTGTCACGTCTCCAAACTGAGTAGCCCCTTGGGAATACGACCTCATTTAAAATATTTTCTTCAAGTTTCGTCTCTGTTAAGGCGACAGTATCTAGGACTTTGAGCTGAAATATATCCTTCAATTCCAATATTTTCGATCTCACTCCATCAATGTTGGTATATACTATTTTCAGGAATTTTCCCCTTCCCTTTGTTCTTTACATCTCCTTCCTTTAATGATTTTGTTGCTTTGTCTTTATGTACCATTTCACAAGCTTTCCAGTCCCTAACACTGTAGAAAAAAGAATTCCTTTCTTCTTCATTTTTATCCCTCATTCAGACGTTTCACTTCAATGAGGTTCACTTTCAGCTTTTATCTGTCCTCTTTTGAGAGGTCTTGTCTTATTGACCAAAGTTTGCCATCCTCGTCACATTGCAGTTTTCTGGTATTCCGAAGCACTTCTGTCATATACTTCACTCCAATAAATGTCACCCTTGGTTCTTGTCTTTCTCATATTTTCCTATCCTCCTAAAATCACTGACATAATATATGACATAATTGTGTGTGTGTGTGTAATTATCTAAGTGTAGTTACAGGATGAGAGCTATGCTAGTGGTGTCCCGTCTACCCAGCACTCTTTGTCATATAACGTTTTGAAACTACTGTACTGACGGCATTGGCCTCCACCACCTTCTCACCTAACTTGTTCCAACTGTCTACCACTCTGTTTGCAAAAGTGAAATTTTCTTATATTCCTCTGGCAGCTTTGTTTCATTAGTTTAAACCTATGACATCTTGTTCTTGAAATTCCAGGTCTCAGGAATTCTTCCCTATCGATTTTATCGATTCCTGTTATTATTTTGTACGTAGTGATCATATCGCCTCTTTTTCTTCTATCTTCTAGTTTTTGCATATTTAATGCCTCTAACCTCTCTTCGTAGCTCTTGTTCTTTAGTTTTGGGAGCCACTTAGTGGCATGTCCTTGCACCTTTTCCAGTTTGTTGATGTGCTTCTTAAGATATGGGCACCATACAACTGCTGCATATTCCAGCTTTGGTCTAACAAAAGTCGTAAACAATTTATTTAGTATTTCTCCATCCATGTATTTAAAAGCAATTCTGAAGTTAGAAAGTGTAGCATAGGCTACACTTCTCCCCACTTTGTGACTAAACTTTTCTCAGACTAAGTCTTCTTAGTCTTCCTAGTCTAAGTCCTCAGAGTCTTCTTAGACTAAACTAAACTTTTCTCCCTGACTCTTTGTGACTAAACTACCTAGCCTCATGCTACATGACTTCTGACTCCAAGCAATATTCTTTTCTAAAATTGTTTCTTCATCAATAATGAATATGGTGTATAATAATTCTGAATGTTGTAACATGTGTATAATTATATAATACTAGGAGGGGTACCCAACAGTGCCCAAGATAGTCTGCCTCTCCACCCCCCATTGTACCCTCTTATTTTCCCCTCTCCCCTTCCTCTCCTACATTTTCCCCCTTCTCCCTACCTTGCCCCTCCAACATTGAACAGACAGATGTTTCCATTTATGTGTGTGTATATATATATAGCAGTAAATAGGTACCTAGGAGTTAGTCAGCTGTCACGGGCTGCTTCCTAGGGGTGGAGGCCTGGTCAAGGACCGAGCCGCGGGGACACTAAAAAAAGCCCCGAAATCAACTCAAGATAACCTCAAGATAGGCTCCTCACACGTTCTTAATGTGGTCCTCAGGCGACAGTTTTCTGTCTAGACCCACCCCTAGATTCCTTTCTTTGTCAGAATTCTTTAAAGATTTCTCACATAATTTATAGGTTGTGTGGGGTCTATTTTCTTCAATTACACATTCCATAACATGGCATTTATTCACATTAAATTCCATTTGCCAAGTGTTGCTCTATATACTTATTTTGTCCAGGTCTTCTTGAAGGGCATGACAATCATCTAGGTTTCTTATCTTTCCTATTATCTTAGCATCATCAGCAAACATATTCATAGAATTCTGTATTCCAACTGGTAGATCGTTTATGTAGACAATGAATATTACTGGTGCAAGAACTGAACCCAGTGGTACAGTGACATTTCTCCAGTCAGATACATTGTCTCTGATTACGGCCCTCATTTTTCTGTCAGTTAGGAAATTTTTCATCCATGTTAGAAGCTTACCTGTCACCCCTCCAATATGTTCCAGTTTCCAGAACAACCTCTTATGTGGAACTCCGTCGAAAGCCTTTTTTAGGTCCAAATAGATGCAGTCAACCCAACCATCTCTTTCCTGTAAAATCTCTTTCGCCCCTACCTGCTCATGCACTGCCTGAGCCTGCATGGTCTTTGGATTGTGTTCTTTTCTTCCTTTCCTCTTCTCATTTTACATTGTCCCCCCTTTGTTCCATGTTTCTTTCTCTAACGCTTTGTTTTTGGTATTTCTTGCCTCCAGTTATTGGCTCTGGGAGCTTCATGCTCTCCTTGGGAGGTGGAGGTCCCTGGTAGGCATAATAACTCCATGGCTGGTGGAACCTGGTAGATGGAAACCATCTTCGAGTATAGCTTCAGGGAGCCACTAGGTCTCACCTAGAAATTGGCATTTCATTACATTCAACGCTAGAAGAATGTAATGTAGGAATGAAGAATTTTTTCATGTAGAATATATTAGCATGTAATATGTCGAATGATTACATTAATTTTTCTCCCTCAGGAGCAGACAGTGAAAGCCAGTTCCTCCACTACCTGCCAGTACCACTTCTTGCACTTGATGCCTGTAACACCACCCACTACCCTGGCCGCCTCAACCAGGCACACACCTGTGTTGGCTTCACCGATGCCCAACATGCTCCCTGCCATGTGAGTTATGCCTTGCATGTTCTTTTCTCCTTGAGTACAATCACCTTAATGAATGTCATCACATGAATTAACATTTTCTCCCTGACTCTTTGTGACTAAACTACCTAGCCTCATGCTACATGACTTCTGACTCTAAGCAATATTCTTTTCTAAAATTTTGTTTCTTCATCAATAATGAATATGGTGTATAATAATTCTGAATGTTGTAACGTGTATAATTATATAATACTAGGAGGAGTACCCAACAGTGCCCAAGATAGTCTGCCTCTCCACCCCTCATTGTACCCTCTTATTTTCCCCTCTCCCCTTCCTCTCCTACATTTCCCCCTTCTCCCCACTCTCCCTACCTTGCCCCTCCAACATTGAACACACAGATATTTCCATTTATGTGTGTGTATGTATGTATGTATGTATGTATGCATGTATGTGTGTGTGTGTGTGTGTGTGTATATTATATATATATATATATTATATATATATATATATATATATATATATATATATATATATATATATATATATATATATATATATATATATATATTGATGTAAATTTATTTGTAGAAGGAATATTCTTGTACAGTATAACAGTACAATATAGTGTTTTAGACAATATAGTTTCTTTAGCCTTCAGTTACAGTAATATTATTAAATCTTCAGCATTCTGCCATCAAAAGTTTATTTGTAATGGCTTGTAAGAAGATTAAGCTTACCGTTTTAAATGTTTCATGTTGGCAACATATAAAAACCTTGGCTTTCTTCTCATCAGGGTGACGAGGGTAGTCCACTCATGTGTCGGAGTGAGACCGGTGCATGGCGACTCGAGGGACTGCTTACCCACCATGCCCGGTGTGGCCGAGCAAGACATCCTGCTGTTTTCACGGCTCTCCATGCACTTCAGCCCTGGCTTAGTAATACAATAGGTACTCCCTATGTTCCTAGATTTACCCCAACCACAACTACTACGACAACAACTACTACTACGACCACCACTACTACAACCACTAGTCCCCAAACTCGGCAGTTTGCAATAGCCACAAATTCCACAGACATCAAAGAGTCATTACCACCTGTGTCGTCTCCTGGTAATGCTCCACTATAGCACCTGCTAGGCTCTAGTAAGGTTTGAAAGGTGCCATACGTGCTATGAACGTGCTATAACATGTGCTAAACAATTACATTGAGAAAAAGATAACAAATTTATCATTCAATGCTGTGATCATAATGTGTGTGTTTACGAGAGTTACTTATTGGATATTAATGACTTTCACAATAATTATACATCAAGGCTATCTACAGAAAAGGACTGATTATGATGGCCAGTGCAAAACATTGCATTGTCATAAAAATATTTTTCAATTATAGTGAGCTCCAGAACTTGTTAACTCAAGATACTGTGCTGGGATCTCATCTCTTTGGTGCTGAGGGAATATTGCAGTAATGTTTCAGAAATTGAGTGACAAGATGTGTGTAGTGAAAGAGGGAATATTTTACGTTTATTGTACAATACGTATATGAAAAGTGAATTGTTAAAAAAAATAAAGTGCAATTTATAAGGAAATGCTGGTTGGGTTCATGTCCGGAATGCTACGACTGTTTGATGCACAAACTAACAGACATGCAACAGGAGTGTGACATTGTAGTGCTGCAACAAACAGTGAAAAAAATGGAAGCAGTTCTCTACAACCACAGTGTTAACCAAATACAATATTTTTAGGTGAATAATATATCCGGTTTTCTTTTGCGAAAACTGGAGGTTGTTGTCATACAGGGACCAGTGAATGCATTTATGAAACTGAACCATTATGAGTGAGACTATGTTGTTGTGGCCATGTGGTTGACAGGTTGTGTGTGTCTGGGAGTCAGAGCTTAAGCTGTGGTTCATAGGCCAATTTCTCAACATCTTATATAATACACAGGCTTAAGACCCAGAACCGCCAATCACATTATATATTCATAACACGGGTATGAAGCAGTCACTAGTGTACTGTAGAATAGGTTCCAGGGGCCATCCATGCCAGGGTGCAAGGACCACTTGAGATCTAGGGTGCACAATGTAAGGATCTTACTGCAGATCTGATTTGTCACGACACTAGAATACACAACTTATGAAAGCAAAGTCAAATTACATGTACACCACTAAATTGTTGGGCTCAAAAGTCCCAAAGAACATTACTTTAGCTACAACATAAATAACAAGTGCAACATAGTATCTGATCTGCAAGATACAAGGTATAATATGCACCTGATAAAGTGCAATGCACAAGATTCGTTTACAAGGGTGTAATGCAGGATCATTTGATAGGGTGCAATCTCTAGGAATTCTCATGATCATCAGAGTTGGGATCCTATAGATCCTACTCTAAATCCAAATTTCCAAGCTGAATACAGCACTTGGCAATTCCAGCTATATATATAAATATAGTATAATATAGATTGTGTTGGTAATTATAAACACTTAACACAACAAGCATTTCAGGGATCTTATATTAAACCACGATGCCATTACTGTACTGTATTTAAATGAAACAACGAGTTTAAATACTGCTTCCTTAGTTTTTAAAGGATATGCTGTGGCACAATATGACAACTATTTGTGCAAAATCTTCCTAGTAGAATTTGTGGGTTTAACATTTTACAAAAATACTTACCATATTGATTATGAAATTTCAGTTGTTTATACTTTATTGTATATAGAACTCAGAGCAGTTATTAAATTGTGAAAAAATTTAAATACCTTAATATCATCATTATTAAAGTCTCATTACTAGCCTACATTTCCCACTTTTATGGAGCAATAAGTCACTAACTTTTGAGATAAAAAGCAAATGATATGTATAATCAAAGAATGTTTGGTTAAAATATAGCACTTGTCCATTTATTATATCATCCTCACTGTATAGCATCACTAATAAACAAGCATCACAACACTTGGGCAATTATTCACATCAATATCAAACCACCTCACACAACATGGCTTACAGTGCTCCTTGTGAGTTAAATTCAGTACAAATTCAAATGCATTCACACCCTTCTTGGTAACCTCTCCTGAATCTTATGAATTTATCAGCTTTCACATTCCACATTTTTCCATAACATTTTTCCTGCATCTACTTTCTAAATGCTACGTATGTGCTTAATTTGTTTATTTTCCATGTTCGTAGCACATCATCATCATCTCGCACCCAAACACAGGCTGGGCACCACCGTGTTAATCCAATGCACACCCATCACACTTCTTTCCTTGTTGGGTCTAGACACCAGACTTCTTCTCTCACTCTACTGTCAAATTTGTTTACATAATTACTATTATTATTAGTTGCATATCCCAGACATTTAAAATGATCAATGACGACTTCATTTACATATATTTCTTAAGCAGATATTCCTCCTCACCCCACCACCATAACTGTTTTAGTTTGCAATCTTTGACACACATCTCTTTGAAATTTCAACATGCTTACATGCATTTTTATCACACTTCTAAAAGTATTGCATCATTTGAAAAAAAGTTATACATTCAGTACTTCAATATTAGTACCCATACTGTTCTTGTATTAAGCGTGTTGGCATAAGTTCACACCCCTTTCATTATTCTTTGACTCCAATCATATATACACTGTATCTCAAAGGTAAAACTACATAACCCTGGCATATATAATAAACCACTCATTACACCTTTAACTTTTACACATGCTTTATTTCCTACAAAAAAACTTTCAGAACATTTATTAGAACCAGTTTCATACATCTTTACTCTCCAGACTCCTTAGTCTAAATAATTGTATAATTGTAATTAAAAATAATTAACAAGGTTTGGCAATAAAAATGTTATTCATAGCTATTCAAAACATTCATAGGCATTGTGGTCTTCTTATTTATGATCTTGAAATTCCTGGCTTACTACATTTTGTTTTGCTTGATGCAAACTTAATGCAATAAAATTTTACATATAATGTATGTATATAAATCTGTACATTGCGTGTATAATAATTATTATTATTATTTTTGTCGGGAACAGGAAGCATGTATACATATAAATACTTTAGGGTTGTTCCAAAGTTCCCCCAAGGTCAAACTGCTGACCATCCCCAAGACACAACCCCACAACAGTTGCCCAACTCCTGGGTACAGTATCTATTTACTGCTAGGTGAACAGAGGCATTAGGTGGAAGGAAATGTGCTCAACCATTTCTGTCCTGCCCAGGAATCGAACCTGGAATTCCTGATTGTTATTCGCGAAAGAAGCTAACAGCAATACAAGATAATGCATGTGCGCATGCACAAATGCGTAGTAAAATATCATCTCATTAGGCTTTTGTCTTATACATGCCAAGCTTCTTTTGTAAATGTTTAATATACACACGTGCAATAGAAAGTGTACATAAAAATACATAACATGGAATGTGCACAGTGATAGGAAATAGGAAGTGTACATGGTCATAAGAAATAGGAAGTGTACAGTACTGTAATACAGAAATTTAGCCTAGTTTTCATTTTATACTATGTCTTTCTCCTAAAATTTCTCCTGAAACAAGACCTCATGTTTCTAATAAAGAATAAACCTTTATGTACTTCAGAGACTATCCTAAACACCTGCAGAGTAAGGTAAGGAGTGCAATATGTGATCCCTGAAATGCTGTTGGTGCTAAGCTTGTTTTATACATGGTCATATTCTCTGTCTGTGTGTATGGCTGGAAGGTGGATGATATTTGAATTATTCTTGTTGATTAAAAATACAAGTAAAAAGGTCATCCTGTTTTTTTGTTTTTTGGTTAAAGAGATTGGCGAGTATTTATTGTCTTCAGAATGGGTTTTCGGATCAGTTACCCTAACCTGTAGAAGGCCAGACAACTGATAGTTCTTTGAGGGGTCTAGTGCATCTTTTCATGGTCGAGGTGGACCTGTTTTCTGTGTGTTTATGGCTCATATTCGATTTTTTTAAACATAAGACAGTCACCCATAAAGACACTGTTTAGAAGTCTGACAGAAACTAATTGTGAGATTTCAAAGTATTTTGTTATATCAAACATTTTGTGCTCATTATGTATATAGTCTTGTATAAAATGTCCATTGCTATTAATATCATCCATAGTATATCTCTTGCCTTTCTTTAGTGTTTCTCTTAACACTCTCTGTTATATAATAGTTGAGAATTATGTGATATTACTTAGCAACAGGTCTTAATTGTCTTATGTGTAAAGCTCAAGTAAGCTTAGGAAATTGGACTGGAATTACAGTATATGTTTCTCTTTGAGCTGAGTATTCTCTCCCCCCCCCTGAGCAGAGTATTTGCTTGCATATCTCGTGTGTTACTTTGTTATACTATATTATTCCTCTTATATTATCCCTCTGTAATATTATTTCTCAAGTAATATGCATCATGTATTGTGTCTAATGTTGAGAAATTGTTATGTCTTGTTTTTAGTAATTTATTAAGCAGGTTTTTATATAATATATTTGATATAGGTTGTAAATTTTGATGGACAAAGCATTTTTTAAATTCAGTTTGTTATTCATTGTCTAAGTGGATGCAAAAATATGAAATTAGTTTCTCTCAAATATCTCAAATGGGATTAAACAAAATTATGTTGTGAGAATGTGGAGTGTTTGAAGTGCAAGAACCTAGGTGATGAAATATTTACTAACAAGATCACATGAATAACACCAGAGGCTAACGTTGCTTCTAATTAAGGGTCTTGCCTTTTTTTTCCCCCAATTCAGTCCAAACTTTTCACTTATTAAATCACACTCGTCTTCCAGAAAAACACATGAACCTTAGTGTCTTGCAAGTTGTTGATATTACATACTATACATACATAATGAATTATATATAGTGTCCACTGAGTTTAAGGACTTGTATAGGAATATACCCTACTCCAAGTCAGAATGGTTGCCAAGCTCGAAATTGTTAAATGTTGGTAATATTCATGGGCTCCGCAATGTGCTCTTTTTTCTTTCTTAATGAAAATTATGTACCCTTTTCTCACACTCACTCTCTCACACACACACACACACACACACACACACACACACACACACACAGTATAAAAAGTTATGACAGTATTGGAAAGATGGGACACCACAAACCAAATACAGTAATGGTTACCTGTTTATCTATTGTCAGACTTATTTAGTAAATTCAGTAGCAACCATAATCGGCCTTTACTGGATGATGATTCGGTAAACAATGATCCAAATACAGTACTATACTGGCGTCAAAACTGGCTATTAAATCCAACAGGATTAAATTGGAGGGCCTTAAATTAGGTGGATACTCTGTGTGCAAAATCCATGTATGATTTTGCATGCATGCATGTGTGTGTATTATATAAGATATATATATATATATATATATATATATATATATATATATATATATATATATATATATATATATATATATATATATATATATATATATATATATATATATATATTATAATTATACATGCAGTACATTACATTCATCATCATAATTATGACATTTCCATTTTAAAATTATAAAATAAATAAATATAAAATTTGTGTGTATTTAAAGCACAAAGAAATTACCATGTGATAAACATTGAGAATGTCAGACCATGAAAAAAAGGATTAAGACAAAATTCCTTAAGTACTTTTGTATTTAATAATACATCTTCAGAAGGATCCTTCTGAAGATGTATTATTAAATACAAAAGTACTCAAGGAATTTCTTTCTTTCTTTCAAGGTCTGACATTTACACTGTTTATCACATGTTAAGTTCTTCGTGATTTAAATTCACACTCACAAATTTATATAATATATATACTGTGTATTATATTATATATATTATATATATATATATATATATATATATATATATATATATATATATATATATATATATATATATATATATATATATATATATATATATATATGACAATGTCAGACCACGGAGGAAAAATGAAACAGGAAATTTCCTTAAGTACTTTCGTATATTAAATACATCTTCAGAAGGTCCTTCTGAAGATGTATTTAATATACGAAAGTACTTAAGGAAATTTCCTGTTTCATTTTTCCTCCGTGGTCTGACATTGTCACATTCTTAATCACGTGTTTATTTTCGTGATATACACATATATATATATATATATATATATATATATATATATATATATATATATATATATATATATAAAATTGACTTTCATAAGTTGCCCTGTTGCTGTGTGTTGTATATTGTGGCCAAATATGTGTTTGTCTCTGCTCCTCCTCCTCCCCCCCATCCCCCCCCCTCCAAGAGTATAGGACCTCTATAGTATAAGGTGCCATGTAAGACAGTCATACAAAATAAAATGTTCATATGATATGCAAATCTTTTTGTCCTAAATTGCAATCAAGAATATTTTTATAACTATAAAAATAAAAATGTTCACAATGACATCAGGAGAATTTATTTATTTATTTATTTATATACAAGAAGGTACATTGGGTTTGTGAGAGTATATAGCATGATGTATTTACGTTCTTGTAAAGCCACTAGTACACACAACGTTTTGGGCAGGTCCTTAATCTAAAAAATAATATTAAGAAGGTAAATTCTTGCAAAATTTATAAAATGTTAACAGGTACATTGTAGGAAAAAATTGAGAGATTAGTATATTAAAGCATATTGATAGCTTTAATTGATAGCACTGATAATTTGACAAAGATTAGTAGGTACAATTAAGTACAGTACAGTATTTATCAAAAGAAGGTACTAAGTCAGGAAATGTAAGAAAGATACATTTAAATATGTGAATAGATTTAAAGAAGCAAAAGGAAATATGAAAATTACATGAAAAGCCATCTCTAACCTCCTAGGATTTATATAATAATCACATAAGCAGATAAAACTCTCCAAAGATAGTTACATACTTGCAACAGACTTAGAAATTGCAAGCGAATTCAATAGTTTGTTTTCATCAATTGGTGCTAACCTAACAGAGGCTACAGTTAAGGATTTGTGCCCAGTATCTCCTCCCCGGCCAGGATACGAACCCATGACAAAGCGCTCGGCGAGTGTCTTACCACTACACCACGGAGACTGATTCTCAGTTCTCAGCCTCAGAACAACCGTTGGGCCCCGGCCCCGTGTTACAGCTCGACTACCATTGTCTTATTTCGTTCATTCATTCATTGTTTACATTTCTTAAATATTTCCACCAGTCTTTACTCCTAGATTCTCTCTGCAATTTTGATTTAACAATTTCTACCTTATTTATCTGTTACCTAAGATCTCTTAGCTTAATTTCCTAGGGAAATAACTACACTTATTGGCACTTAAATGCATCTCACATTATTTTGTTTCTCTTGATTATGAAAACAACAAAAGTATTTACAAATAAAGACAATTCCAACCAAAACCACCTCTCAAATACACGACAATCCCTACAAGCAACAAGCACATTAAAGAAACATCATGGGAATTTAACAGACACATAAACAACTCTGTGTTCAACCCAGTGAACACAGAAACCTGACAAAGTGCATAGATGAACTAATCCATAAATTTTATACAAAACAAAACAAATCACACATTTTACTCCAGGGATCGCTCACCAAACTTTTTCTGGAGGACTAGGATGAGACGTCTCTCTCAGGCCCTACCTGAGGACGACAAGGATGCGACGTCTCTCTCAGCCCCTACCTGAGGACGACAAGGATGCGACGTCTCTCCCGGCCCCTACCTGAGGACGACAAGGATGCGACGTCTCTCCCGGCCCCTACCTGAGGACGACAAGGACGAGACGTCTCTCTCAGCCCCTACCTGAGGACCACAAGGATGCGACGTCTCTCAGCCCCTACTTGAGGACGACAAGGACGAGGCGTCTCTCTCAGCCCCTCCTTGAGGACGACAAGGATGAGACGTCTCTCTCAGCCCCCACCTGAGGACTACAAGGATGCGACGTCTCTCTCAGCCCCTACCTGAGGACGACAAGGACGAGACACACCTTTTGTCACACAAATATCCCCGACTATGTACAACATACTCGCTACCCACAATTAATCCTCAGGAGTGGATGGTAGAAGCACTTACTGCGGAAATACTTAGAAAACTACGCCACCACCAACTCCGTAGATCTTCCTTTAGGGAAATAACTATTATAATTGCTTTGGTGGGAGGTAAATGTTCATTACTGTGAGATGGAGACGGATCAATGACCACTGGGGCTGTCTGCACGTCAGGGTGTGTGTGTGTGTGTACTCACCTAGTTGTACTCATCTAGTTGTGCTTGCGGGGGTTGGGCTTTGGCTCTTTGGTCCCGCCTCTCAACTGTCTATTTACTGATGTGCAGATTCCTGAGCCTACTGGGCTCTATCATATCTACATTTGAAACTGTGTAGGGAATCAGCCTCCACCACATGACTTCCTAATGCATTCCATTTACTAACTAATCTGACACTGAAAAAGTTCTTTCGAATGTCTCTGTGGCTCATTTGGGTACTCAGCTTCCGCCTGTGTCTCCTTGTGCGTGTACTACCCGTGTTAAATAATCCATCCTTGTCTACCCTATCCATTCCCTTGAGAATCTTGTATGTGGTGATCATGTCTTACATGATCACTCTTCTGCCTTGCAGCGACCTGAGGTGCATTTTACGCAGCCTGTCCTCGTAACTCATGCCTCTTAGTTCTTGGACTAGTCTAGTGGCATACCTCTGAACTTCTTCCAGCTTCGTCTTGTGCCGGACAAGGTATGGGCGCCATGCTCCACGTGGGTGGGTGGGTGGGTGGGGGGCAGGGCGGTGATGGCAGGGCTCCAGTGGTCTGGGTGTACAGTACTACAGTAGAGCGTGAAGGGGACTGGTTAAGGGACCACCAGCGTTCATAGCTTTGTTAACTTGTGGCTCTGCCGGGCTCTCGTGACGTCCACGCCTTCTAGGTAAGAATGTTTCGAGTGTATTATTTAATGCTATGAACTTGGTACTAATGAGGCTGAGTTGGGTGTGTACGTAATTATCAAAGTGTAAATACCCTAGTGTAGTTTCAGGACAAGAGCTACGCTCGTTGGTGTCCCGTCTTCCTTATAATCTTTATCACATTACGCTATAAAACTACTTTAGGATGGTAGAAATAGCCTAAGCTACTCTATCTCTTTGATATGTATTTTATTGTCTCAATAAACGTTCTTGAACTTGGACTAAAACTACTTTTGTTGTTGTAAAGGCATCCGCCACCTTCTCTCCTGAACGGTCCAACGTTCTGCAACTAGGTTCGAAAAGAGAACTTTTGCATATTTTAATTATGTCGTTGTTTCCTGAGAGTAAATATACGACCTTGCTCTTGAAGTTGCACGATTCAAAATTTCCTCCTTATCGACTGTATTCTTTCTTGTCACTATTTTGTATGTGGTGATCCCTTTTATATGTCCTTTATCCCTTCTTACAGCCGTGGCGTATTTAACGCCTCTAGCTCCTCCTCATAGTTCTAAAGTTTGTGTAATTACCTAAGTCTAGTTACACGATGAGACCTACGCGGTGAAACCACTGACGGTTCGCGAGTCTGTGTGTGTGTAATTACCTAAGTGTAGTTATAGGATGAGAGCTACGCTCGTGGTGTCCCGTCATCCCAGCACTCTTTGTCATATAACGCTTGAGTGCTGGGAAGACGGGACACCACGAGCGTAGCTCTCATCCTGTAACTACATTTAGCACTTAGGTAATTACACACAAACTTTAGAACTATGAGGGGGAACTAGAGGCGTTAAATACGCCAAGGCTGTAAGAGCCTTGGCGTATTTAGTGTGTGTGTGTGTGTACTCACCTAGTTGTGTTTGCGGGGGTTGAGCTCTGGCTCCTTGGTCCCACCTCTCAACCGTCAATCAACAGGTGTACAGATTCCTGAGCCTATCGGGCTCTATCATATCTACACTTGAAACTGTGTATGGAGTCAGCCTCCACCACATCACTTCCTAGTGTGTGTGTGTGTGTGTGTGTGTGTGTGTGTGTGTGTGTGTGTGTGTGTGTGTGTACTCACCTATTTGTGCTTGCAGGATCGAGCATTGACTCTTGGATCCCG